GACCAGAAGATTACCAGTCAGCATGCTGCACATCCGGCTCCATACAAATTATAAGAATGTTTTTATTTTCCTCTCCTTCCTAATTGCAGCAGTGGATCAAAGGAAATGGCCATATCACAGCTAAATGGCTCCCCTCTGAAGTCCCGGGAGCTCAGTGGAGGGTATAATTTTTCTGATGATATGGAACATATTTTGTGACCAAAATGTCTGGCCCTGAGGGCAATTAATGGATTAATGAACGGCCACCTATGTGGCCTGGGCTCTTTGATTTGTGAGCCTGATTAGGCACTTTTTAGTCCCACTACTTTCTCTTCTTTGAAGGATCATGCTCCTATTTCCACTGTACCTTCCAAGTGAGCCAGGCAGGAAAGTATTCGGGAAATTTAAGAGAGCCCATACAAGCACTGATAGTTATTTCAGCTCAAGGGTGAGAAGTAGCATGCAGTTGCAATAGCTCAAATACTATTAAAGATCTTTTGGTGGGAAAAAAAACATGCAGCAATTGTAATTCAGAGAGTGACAGTAACCCTGCCTAAAACAAATATAGTATGATACAGACATTAAACATAATACATAATGTCATAATATAATTCTGACCAGATGATATAAAGTATGAGGTTGGGATGATAGTATTTTACATATTTTGCATTCAGTTTACCCTACAGTTATGCAAGCAGCAGCTGTGCTTGCACCTATAATGTGGTGCAGTGGCCAACTTCCAGAGGACCAAGTTGTGAAAGCATGCATACTGTACTTCAACACCCCTGTCTGAAGCAATTAAATGCATACCAAAAACCAGCTTTGACTCGAAAAGAGGTCTTTTTAAGTCTAGACAAAGCACTTCCTCTTGTTGGTAAACTCATAAAATGTGCTATAAAACTTATTCACAACATCAAGCGACCAGTTCCCGTAGTAAACCGGGCATGGCTGTGTCAGTTTTGATAATTACAATAATCCATCATCACAGCAACCTCTTCCTGGGCAGAACTCCAAATTCCTGCGGAACATCATAGCTTCTCTTCAAATACCAGAGTCTCCTCTCTACCTGCCAATCGTACAATACCTTCACACTTGTCACCATAGAAGCCTGGAGCACATGTACAGGTGTAGACTCCCAGGCTGGTGTAGTCACAAATCTGATGCTTCTTGCAATCTTCCTCTTCACACAAGGCTGCAGATGGAAAAGCACAGCAGGCTGTGGTCTAAGAATCGAAATGTATGTGGAAACCTTTGGCAAAGCTTTAGCTGTAGCTGTACATGCTGTTACCTGTTTGGTTTTCTGTCTCAGATGAATTGAACCGAAGCACCACCAACTCTGAGAGAGGAAGGTAAACAAGAGCTTAAAGAGCTGGTTCATCCAAATACCAGTAAAACATATTTCCTCACTTACCTCTGGTGTTATCTTGCCATGCAGATAGTTTTGGATTTAAATCTTGAGGTGTGGAGATACCTTTCTCTGAGATATATGCTGCTACTCCAGCACAATGGAAGCAAACAGAATTTAGTCCCAGCATGGAAAATTTACTGTACATTTAAAACAATTAAAAACAAGACATCAAGTCCCATTGCTCTGGTGAGTCCAGATTCCATTCATCTCTACTGAAACCTCTGACCCAGATATCTCAAACCCTGGATAAACAAAAAACTATCTGCATGGCTAGATACCTGCCATCAACTGGAGGGAAGTGAGAAAGATGTCATGACACTACATGAAAACAATATGAGAAATGTGTGATGCTGTCAGCCTGGCTGATTTTTATTCATCAACATTAGATTGTCATACCAATAATGCATCGGTATTGGCCCATATGTTGGTCACTAGGTAAACAGTAATTGTAGTACAGAAGCGCCAAACATATGACTGCTGTAATTAAAAACACACTGTCACCATTATGTAGTTTGTCTACCAAAAAGAACTGACAGGGTTATTTTTAAGCAATCCTTTCATAGCTAAGTGTAAGAAATTATTATCAAAAATGTTTGTCACAAATTTATATTAAAGCTACAGTATGTAACTTTTTCAAATATTTTTGTCGTAGAACTATGCTCCAAAATGTGGTGAAGTGCTGTCGAAGCCTCCTGTGTCCCAGGGGTTTCATGCTACCTTAACTTATGTATATACTGTAGCGTTAATGTATGAATACAGTCTGAATATTGGCCAATCTATCATTGCCACATTTATTCTGTAATTTGGGTGAATCGCCACAACAAACACTAGTAGTAGTAATCAAGTAAATTAGACACATACTATATAGATTATTAGACTGAAATGTAGCTCCAAGATGGACAAACAGACAGAAGACATTTGTGTATGCCACAGTTAATGATCACAGAAAAACTAGCCCTATAAGACACTGGCAAACTGTGCCCACCAGACACTGTGACCTGATTAGGAATTTTAGCTATAGTAACATGTGCCATCATGTTTTATATCATAATTTAAAACGTACACTTTCTTTTCATAGCCTTTACCAAATATGGTGCCTCCATAACATTTACTGTTGGTGAAGTCACTAATTATGATTTTGAGGTACTGAATCTGTGACCAGTCAGATTTAGGATGCTACAGAGTGTTATAACTAGAGTAACAAAGACCAAAGAGTCAACTACATAATGACAAGTGAGGAGCTGAGGTGGCTCTACACATAAGCACTTTCTGCTATCACAACTAAACATCTAATTATTTGTACAGACTGTAAAGGTACAATTTGTGATGGAAACCTTTACAGTGGCAGTATAGTTAAAGTTCCTAGCTGGTTCATAGAATTTGGTGTAACTATGTGATGGAGGTATGATAGGATGCCCTTTGTCTGTCCTACTTTACAGTTAGCCAAACTGAAAGGAGAAAGCTGACTATGTGAACACCTTCTATCAAGAACCATTTTCTCAAACATGCTCCTCTGTCAGAATTCAAGTTGGATTCAATCACCTATCTCACAGAGTGTTCCAGTGAAGGCAAAGGGACAGATACAGGTGAAGCTGGCCACCTGATCAATGCACTCTCCTCCATTCAGACAGGGCTGCGACTCACATTTGTTTATGTCTGGAGGATGCACAAGAGTCAGCTAACCAGAGGAAAGATATTTACTTGCTGATTCAGTTTCCCATTATGAGTCTTCAACCTTCACATGGAAATGTGAGATTTTGTTGTTTAAGACACTCAGCTGGGATAAGAGGACTGAACTTCCCTTCTAAAAGCATAGAGTTTCATTGGCCAGGTGTCTGGTATTAAGATTAATCCAGTTTCATGTAGGAACAAGGATCCATGAACTGTGCAAGGCCTGATAATTTAATTCCCCACTGGCTTCAAGTTCCAACAACAGTCAATCATGAGAGAGCGAGATTAGCATAGGTGTTTATGGAAACTAACCTGACTTCAGTGAACTGTGGCTCACTGCTAGAGTGTCCAACCCAAAGGGAAAAAACACAGTTGTTTGCAAATCAGGTCAACCATAACCTCAACTTAGACCCATCTGTCTAGGCAGACTGGGAAACTCTTTGGACAAAAACATCTGCCGATTCACTGCGTTTGATGTAGAAAGCAGCAGAAAGTATTTCCTCTGAAGGGAGATGCCCACTTTTTCCCAGGACTGTGAAAAACCTCACTCACCTGTCTCACACAGGACACCAGTGTAACCTGGTTCACACACACAGGTGAAACTGCCAGCGCCTTCCATACACAACGCGTTGTTGAGGCATGGTCTGTCTTTGCACTCATCAATGTCTGTAACACACACACACACACACACACACACACACACACACACAGACATGCTCATGGAATATTTACTCAGCTGATTAATATATCCGCCACACTGCTCCACTCACTCTGCAAGTATGTGCTGCTGGCTGTGAAAGGTATTAGACAAGATTTGCTACATCTCCACGGGTTGGGCTGTGGGGATAGGCACAGCAGCCCAGAGTGCCTGGACCAAGAGATTCTAAAATACCCTTTGTGTGTGTGTGTGTGTGTGGAAACTGCTTAATGAGAAACAAAACACTTTTACCAAATAATACATACTTCTGCATTTCCACATCATTCTAGAGATGATTTATTTATCTAAATGCAACAGTAACTGGAGCAGATATCAGCTTGGATACCTGTTTCACACAGAATCCCAGAGTATCCAGGAGGACAGTGACAGACGAAACTATTAATCAGGTCTTTACAAGTCCCTCCATTCTGGCAAGGATATGAGGCACACTCATCGACATCTACAAAGACAGGGAGAAATACAAATTAGGTATTATGACTTTTTTAATTAGAAGAAAACATCTGGCCAAGGTAAAAGGTTGACTAGGTAAGAATGGGACATGAAATTGATACAAGTATTAAGGAAATATCCAGGGGTCCTTTTGGCATCCTAGAATTCTACTTATTGTTTTTTTTTCCTTTATAAGCAGCTGACATTATTTTTCCTGGCTGATCTCACATAGATAGGTATTCATTCAAGCAGGGGAAGCAGTGTCAACCATAACTCACCAATTTGACATTGTCGACCAGTGAAGCCAGCCAAGCAGGAGCAAGTGAAGGAGGGGTTGCCTGTGATACAGTCATCAATGCACTGGCCTCCATTCAGGCATGGTCGCAGGTGTGGGCACACTGATGCTGTAAGAGAGGTCAAGGTAACAGGAATCCTGGAAGCAGATGTATTAAGACAGTGAGGAGTAGAAGAAATAATCTCAGGTCTCACCGGAGTTATTGCAACCACCCACTTCTACATTTGCATCATCTATGCGGAAGACCCATCTGCCTGGGTAACCCACGTTGGTGGTTCCCTCTACGTTCACCACGTCAGCTGTGCGAGAGCTGGGGATGTTGAAATAGCGCGTGCCATCTCCAGCATTAAAACCTGCCTGGGAAGAGTGCACCAAAGAGGTAGACATAAAAAAAGATCACTGAATTATGGTTTAGACATACGGAGCAGTTCCACATCTGACCATCATCATAAGCAAATAAGCATCTGATCTTACCTGTGCTGCAATCCCTTCCAGCCCAGCCAGGTTTCCTCCACTGCTGGCATGCATGCCTGTGGTCCAGGTGATGTTATTGTACTGGAATATAGTGAAGGAAAGCTCTCCATCTGTAATGAGCACCACTTGGAAAGTATTTACCTGCACAGAGAGGAACATGTTCCGTTACACCATTTCCTGATTTCTAGGAATTTCAGCAATAATATATGTTTCGAACAGTCTTGTCTCGTCACATTAATGATATGCACTCCTAAATCTCAGTCAGTGTAGGGACATAATAGGCTTCTCTGGGCCTGGTGCTGTTGAGACAACCACAGATACCATTAGAATGAAAATAACTGTGCTTTCTAACAGCAATTTTAACAGTTTACAACAAGGCTATTCTCTGTCAATGTACTGTTAGTATTATTATTATTACTGTTTTGGCTAACTATTTCATCTGATTAGACATTCATTTCAGCTGATTATTTCAACCATTTAGCCACTGCTTTTAACTAACAGTTACAAGTTATTTTATTATTTCAACTGTTTATTCATCACTTGTGGCTAGTTATTTCAAGTAGTTATTCTCCCTTACCAAACTATTTAAATAAACCACTTATCTCTTGCTTTTAACTATTCCGACTTCTCTGCTAGCACTAACTAGTATTCACGCACTCCCACTAGTAGCATGTGAGGTTAAGGTGACCCAGGTTGGTGTGTATAGCCAGCCTTTTTGTAGCTGGTAGTTTACCGGTTATTGTGTTAATAAATGTACTAAAGATCAGCATTACACCTATTTGGCTGGTTATTTTCCTCCTAAATACTAAATATGTGGACATGTATTTGTAATCAAATCAGAATTTATAACTTTCCAAACTAAGTAAATTGACAGTCTTTCCCTCAAGCCCCTTGCAACTGCAGAAGTGACCCCTGGTTTGGAATCCCTGACCTTCACCTTAAAGACATTTAAAGCCACAGTAACTACATGGTAGAAGATCTGTTAAGTCAAGTATGAGTTCATACCGGTGTGAGGGAGTTGCCTCCAAAGAACGTAACTTGGTGCCATGTTGAGATGAGGACCCATGTCGCGTTGAAGTTGGGAAACTCTGAAAAGTATGTCCTGACATCACTCGAAGCCCTGCTCAGGATGGAAGGCTCCTGGCTCTCCCTGTAGAAGACTCTACCTGCCCGGCGGTTGTCCACATCAGCCCAGAATGGTGCCACCACTCTCCTATCCCCAGCAATCGGAAAGGCTACAGGTGTGAACTGAGACACCTCCCTCAGGAAAGATACAAGGCCATTGTTGTTGACCTGAGAAATAGATTCAGTATGAGTTAGCATATTTGAATAAAGCTAATCATAATATATTTTGCTCAACATGTCAGATTCAACTACTGTGACTGCTTTGTAGGATTAGAGTGGAAGTGCTGAGGAGGAGAGGAAAAGGTGGACAAACAGAGGTCTTTTGACCTCACAGGGTAAACAGCAGCGTGGGGCAGTGGACACTCCCATAACAGATGCTTGCACTTTCCATGCAGCAAAGAAGGGCTACCTTTATCCTACAAAATGATGACAGCTGAGAAATCCTGTTTTCTGCTGCTCATGCACCTGCAAAGTCCTCACATCAGGAAGTGCTTTCATGGTGTCTGCCAAGAGCAAAGTAACCAAATACATTAACCTTTCCCCTCTTTTCTACATGTCTCCTCTCTGAAAATGCACTGGCAGCACTGAAGCTATATATACTGCAGCCCAGCTTGCTAAAAGATCGACTTCAAAAAGTCAGTGAGTGGTGTATTGCTGAACCAGTTAGCCAACTGAGTTAATTGACAGACAAAGGTGTATTGCTGAACCAGTTAGCCAACTAAGTTAACTGAGTTAATTGACAGACAATAAACCAACTTTCACTCTCAAAATTTAAGGTTAGCTGGTTTTCTCTCCTTGTTTGCTTGTTTTTTAACAGCTCCATTAATTTATTTTTTGGACATTTGGGGGCAATGTGGCTGACATGTTAGCAAACAAAGAGCTCAGAGCAACATAAGCTATTAACTATTTTTTTCCTAAAAACAAGGCTGAACTCAGAGAAAGAGAAAGTAGCACAGAAAAAAGGAGTAAAAAGCTTCTAGAAGAGAAGCATAATGAAGAGTTGAAGACAATGAGTGGCTTTGCACAACAGCTGTGAGTGGTCAGTGATGAGACCTGAAATACCATTTTGCAATATTTCCTGTTCATTTGTTCATTTCCCTTTGTCTTGGCTCTAATGTGTTTGTTTCCTCCTCCTATACCACATGTGAATGATGTGTTTGGGTTTTGCCTCTTGTGTAGTTTACTCTTGTATAGTCTGTCCTTCTACCAGGTCTTTGTCTGGAGGGGAGGTAGAGTGGCTTGGCTCTGTTGGGGACACCTGTTCTCCTTGGTCATGTTCTTTGTGTTTACAACATACAATTTTTTGTCATTCTGATTTTTTTGTACTATAAATCTATTATGTTGACCTATTGTGTACAAACAGCTATTGCAAATCTGTCGTTCTTCCTGAGGTTTATTTCGTTTGTTTCATATCAAAGGATTCAAAGAATTTTTGATGGATGTGTTTCCTTATCCTATTCAATGACTTAAGGACAGTGGGTGCTGAACAGAATATAAAAGCCTTTGAGGCAGTTTTATCATTTTACAATCTGGCAAATGATCAGTGATCCATGCAGGTTTAGCAGTATGACTACATGCAGAGAGGCTTTATATCACATATGTTGAGGTCAGACCAGCCAATGCAATTGCATCCTACAAAATAACCTGCTATAAACCTGAATGAGGAAGTCTCTCCAGGCTGAAGGCCTGAAAGGTCTTCATTCATACAACATTACTGAATATTTGCAGCACAGGGGGACTCTATCCACCATGGTACCTATTCTGTTCCTTCTAAATGCTGACGAGAACTTTGCCTCTGCATTCAGGCCGAGTGGCATGTGACAGTGACAAAGTAACATCAGATGGCTTGGCCTTGCTCCCTGTGTGTATAAAAACCATCATTTGAAGAACTTTGCTGTAAAAAAAGCAGAGGAAGTTTTGTTTGGCACAGCACGGGGGCTCAGTTTAATTGCCCGACCACAGCTTTCCCCTCTGCATTAGCGTGATGTGGTGAGAATGTGGCCAGCATGGGGAAAAGGAGGACCAAGTGCTGGGGCAGGGCTCAGGGGTCAGCCAGAGCACCATCTGACACTGGGAGGAAAACCAAGAGAGAGGGCACAGGGCTGGATGAATGGAGGGATGTGGAGGGATGTACATGAACTACAAACCTCCCACACCCACATACCCACTAATGAGAGACCTGTGGTGGCAGTGGTCTGGAAGTCACCCATCTCACAGTAAAATTAGCTTTTGAAATCATGCTGAACACTAAGTTTATATTCCAATATTAGAATAAATTTAATCTCCTAATCCAATCACTTGTAGCATCTGGAACTGTTTAAACAAGTGAATTTCTTCCTTGTTGAGATTTTACAGGGGACTGCTATGACACAGAAATGACCTTTGAGGAATTTAAAGTGAACCTGGGGCTTTGTTCTTTGCTTCATATTATTTTCTTCTTCTGATGAATTTCAAGCAGTATACTGTACAACTACTATAGCGTCTGGGTTGGGGGTGGGGGTTGGGGGGGGGGGGGGGGTCTGCATCACACTTCTGTGAGATAATGAATGGATCAGATCTGCTTTGTGTTATGCTGTAACATGACCAAGGTCAGAATCACAAGGGAAAGCGGTGTGATCACTCAACCTTGTAAGAAGCATCACTCTCGCTCCATATTTCTTTCTCTCACTCTCAGTGGTGCCACTTCATTCCACAACTCCCTTGTTATTTTTTTGGGGAATTCTTTGTTGGATATGTCCAGGATTTTGCTTGGGTGGTTTTCTCTGGAGCCAAGCAATTTATGGAGTAAAATAAACTTTTTTCTGGCTTGGGTCAAGCCAAAAGAAACGCCTAAATGAAAAAGGTGCCCATGGATCAACTCAGGAAAACATTCGTTTTCCCTGTCAAAAATTGAGGTTTCACAGTTACAAACTAGGAATAATTAATCAACTAAAATCTTGATTTGGGGTGGCTGTGGCTCATGAGGTAGGGCAAGTCATCTCCTGACCCAGCAAGTTGGTGGTTCGACTCCCGGTCTCCCCGCATGCCTAAGTGTCCCTGAGCAAGACACTGAACCCCGAATTGCTCCTGGTGGCTTGACTAGCGCCGGTGCGTGGCAGCCTGTCGTCATCGGTGTGTGAATGTTGTGGGTGAATGGTGTATGATCTCCTGTAAAGCGCTTCGGCCGGTGCAACACACTGTGAGAAAGCGCTATATAAAATACAGTCCATTTAAAAATCACAGAATTTACAGAAGAGTTTTAAAAACCATTACATTATTTAAATCTGTGAAAGTCAAATCACTACAGAATTTACATTTTGTTTACTGATACTGATAAAAAGCCTGAGGCTAAAAAAATAACATAAACCTGGGCATGAAGTGAAAATAACAAGCTAAACTGTTGGTTCACAAGGAAGCATATTTGTACATAGGAAACAAAGACAGAACTTCTAATGACTGTATTTACATACAGCTAAAGGCTTTAAATATTTTTATCAATAGTTGAACATTTTGGGAACTACACATTCGTTTTCTTGCCAAAAAAACAAAAGAAGGTTTGTATAATTATGCAAGCTCTGCTAACCATCTCCTGGCTGTGACTTAAAATTTAATAGACACACATGCCAGTGGTATCAAATTTCTCAGAGTACAACCCTAAATCAGAAAAAGTTGCGACAGTGTGTAAAATCTCAATTAAAACTGATAATAGTGATTTGTAAACTATCTGTGTCCTGTGACACCATCAGTTTTATTCTTTGTTCAAAATAAACATTCACTTTATTCTGATTTGATGTTCCTGTTCCTTTTCTTTGTTGATGCAATTTACATTTCAAAATGCGCCACACATTCTCTATTGGGGACGGGTCAGGACTGCAGGCAGGCCAGTCCAGCACTCACACCCTTTTTCCTCCACAACCAGGCCTTGGTAATGTGGCAGTGTGAAGTTTTCCATTGTCTTGTTTCAAATGTGCATGGACGTCCCTGGAAGACGTCGTCTTGAAGGCAGCATATGTTGCTGTAAGATCTCTGTGTATTGTTCAGCATTAATGGAGCCATCACAGAAGTGTAAGTGACCTTTGCCAAGGGCACTGACACAACCCCAGACCATGACAGGCCCTGGTTTTTGGACTTGTTATTGGTAACAGTCTGGATGGTCCTTTCCATCTTTGGTCCAGACCACACGGCATCCATTCAAAAGACCTGAAACACTGATTCGTCTGACCGCAGTGCACGTTTCCACTGTGTGATGGTCCATCCTAGATGCCTCTGAGTCCAGAGCAGTCGACTGCGCTTCTGGACATTGCTGACATAGGGCTTCTTTTTGGATGTAACTACATATTGTAGTGCCTGGCCCAGGTGTGCCAAAGTCATCCTGAGCCCATGTGGTTATATCAATTATAGAAGAGTGACGATTCTTGATGCGGTGATGTCTGAGGGCTAAGAAAGCACCGTCACCTGCACTGAAATTCTTCCAGTTCCCTTGGATCTTTTAATTATGTTATGCACCATAGAGGGTGACATATCCAAATCCCTTCCCATCTTTCATTGAGGGACATTGTTTTTAAACATTTCAATAATTTCCTCACACATATGTTGTCAAACTGGTGGTCCTCGGCCCATCTTTGCTCCTAAAGGGCTCAGCCTTTCTTCAATGCCACATTTGTATCAAATCATGATGCAGTCACCTGTTGACATCACCTGTTTCACAAGGAATCATCATTTGATTGTTTTACCTCATCACTGGCCCTGAAATCCAACATCCCAATTTTTTTTGGAATGTGTTGCAGCATCAGGATTGAAGTGTTTATTTTGAATAAAGAATAAAGTTGATGAGGTATCACATCAAATAATGTGCTGCTGTGTTGTTTTCAGTGTAATACTGGACACAGATGATTTACACATCACTATTTTCAGTTTTATTTTTGCTTTTACATACCGTCCCAACTTTTTCTGATTTGGGGTTGTAACTCTCTGCAGGAAAGTGAGGCTTTAAAGTGCAGATACACTATATCTCGTCCATGAGCGGTTTCTAACATCAGTCAGTCAGCACTCATGCAGAGTACAAAGACTAAAACCTGATGCCCATGTCTTTGAGCCCTGCATAGTGGCAAGTGAAACTGAGTGAATGAAAGTGCACTAACTCCAAATGTTGACGCTGTTCACAAGGGCAGATGAGCACTAGCAGATGTGCAATCCATTAAGAGTGTAGTTACACTGTGGCACGTTGTTGGCAGAATCTTTTCAATAAGTATTTGAATTTTGTTTATATATAGTACCTCCAGTTACAGACAAATGCCGTATTATTTTGTACATTTTAATACTAGAAATCACAGCATGTGTGTCAGCATGTAAACATATACAACAAGCCATAAAGAAGCTCGAATCATTCCCCTGTCGGTGAGAGTTTATCCATCTACAAGAAATGCCTTTGATCATAACTATCTATTCTCACATCTGCTTTTAAACTTGTGTTCTTTTCTCTATGACCTTGGATGTCCTCCTTCATGTTCTTTACACTAGCCATCCGTAAGAGTAGTTAATCTGTGAACTGCATTGTTTGGAAACCCCTAAGATACTTTGCAGATACATCTGTGTTCTGTTAAAGTGATTGGTCATTTCTCAGATAAAGCAGCTGGACAGTTCCAGGGGGAAGACCCCTGCCATGTTATCTGAAGAATGGGAGGAGGAGGAGAGATCCCAGCAACATGTGAGAACTCCCAGATACAAACCCAAAACAGAGGGACAGCCTGGTTACCGGGAGGCAGAAGTGGAACTGGATTAAGACCAAGTCAGGGGGACCCGTGTTTGTAAAGAGATCACCATAATCAAGTGTCACATTGCTGTGGCAGTCCTTAAATCCACTGCTTTATTTATTCATCACAAGTGCTAAAAATACGCTGTCTTGCTTTAGTAAAGGACAAAGACAGACACTTAAGGCTTTAACAGACTCTGCTGTGGGGGCTTTCAGTGCATGTGTACTGCAAAACAGAATCAGTTATGATAATCATGTGAGCGTGCACAAACCATCTAAAATCAGTTTGGTTCTACAGCTTCCATGTGGCAGTAGCTCAGAGGCTTGGAACAAACTCCTGGGAAAAACTATTCATATGAATTTAGCCCTTAGTACTCACTGAATTATTACCTGTTCAAAGAAGCTCTCTGGTGGCAGAGATCACAATGTGGGCCTGCGCTTTACAGCAGATGTTTAATGGATTCAGGTGAGGCATTTAAAAAGAGCCTGACTGTAATATCAAGTGCCCGCCACAGTCTGTTATGCCTTGCGTGGCTACAGAATTACAGTTCATTTAGATATGGAGTGAGCTACAGGATATCACATCACAACTAATGCAGCACATTTCAGAATGTAGAGCACTCAGATTTTTATCTCTACCAGATGATAATTCAATCTACGATCAACAAGCCAAGCAACCAGTAACATGTCTCATCCTGCTTAATTGGACTGAAGAGATGCGCTAGAATTCACTGCAAAACTTGAAACAAACACACTGTGCCTGCAGCTGTAATGTTTATAACTCTTCATAAAAACACAACATCCAAATACTGCACTTACAGAGTAATCACTGTGTCACTGAAGATGCACCGCACATTGATGCGCTATAAAAATGTCTTCACTGGGAGACTGAGCTCACCCTTTTTGGCACTGTTGCTTAGATTAGAAAGACAACCTTTGACCTTGCCCATTGTTGCCATGGTTCCTCAGCCTCCCCTGTCCATGGTTTGAATAGGGAGGAGGCAGGCGGGGCTCAGAAGGGGGTGGGTGGTGGTGGTGTGGGGGCAATTCTGAGAGCAAATGTGGATGCATAACCACAACAGGTGGTGTTGATTTAAGGGAGTTCTGCCTTTCCATGCACTGGAACTGAATCCAATACATGACAAAGGCAGATCAAAGTATGTTTCACTGTGGTGCGCGAAAATCCTTGTCAGACTATTCGGCTTCCTCCCATGAGCACTGTCTTTCTGTCTCTCTGGTGTGCAACCCCCCCCCCTTCTGAAAAAAAAAAAAAAACTGCTCACAGATGCTCCATGGCAGCAGTAAGAACACAAACTGTCATTTCCTTTAACAGCTCTTTGTAGACCTATTAGAACAGGGCTTACCACTGTTCTGGTAATAGTTTTTCTCTCACTGTGCGTTGGTGCACTTGGGAGCCCTCAGAGAGCAAGGAGGGCAGATGTAAAGTGAAGACAATGTCATGGAGGATTATGATTCCATCCTCGGGGGGAAATTACAATATTCTACAAATGAGGTTACACACCACAGCCTGCAAGCTCACAAAAACATACACAAACTCTCAAAGGGCACTGCAATGTTGAATATGGCTGCATGCCAAATCTCATCTCCCTGAGGCTCTTATACAATCCACACCATGTCAGTTTCAATTGCCAACTGCTAAGTGCATTCACACACACATACACAGTGACATATAAAGATAAACACACACCACACATCAATAAAAGCACACTGCTCTATACTCACATAGAGTCCTGTGTGCCTGTCTCCAAAGAAGGGGAAAGCAACAGAGATCTCCACAAGCCCAGATCCTCCGTCGTCCTGAGTGATGGTCTGGGAATCCCCCTTGTCCTGGCCAAAAGGGTAGAAGTCCTTCAGGGGCACAGCTGGTACCACCCCAGGCAGCAGGTCCAGGGAAAGCAGGGTGCAGAGGCAGGGCAGCAGGGCTCGCAGCACCAACACCATGGCCTCAGCCACCCAGGGATGGAGCTGACAGCAGGCACTGCGGAGGGGAGGGAGGAGAGCACACACACACACCTGAGGCAACAAGAGCAGAGCAGAACAAGACAAGACCGTACGTTCCTCCTCTCAACCACAGCAGTCTGAATCCTCCCCTATCTGCTCTCTGGCTCTGCCTCTTTCTCTCCTCACTTGTCCCTTTTAGTGAACTGAACTTCTAGTGTGAGACAAGGGAATACTGTAGATTCCTTGCATTCTGCTTGCTGCTGGGCACTGCATGAGCTATACTCCGTCTCACTGAAATGAAACGAGGGAAGGAATGAGAGAGGGGGAGCAGGGTGATTCAGCTGAGATGAGTTTTTTTTTTTTTAAACAATCCAGCGATTTGGTCCCCTGATGGTCAGCTTAGAAATATCCTCAATAAAAGCTCTATTCTGCCTGCCAAAGGAGTTCTTTCAGTTGTGGCCACACCTCCCCCACAGGGATTCACTACCTTGCATAATTAGCAGTTTCCAGCCAATAGCTGAAAAGAGGCCGGTAACTGGATAACCACTGGGCGGATCTATGATAATCAAAGAACTTCTTTAAAGAAACTGACAAGATTTTCCTCTTTCAGCAAAACTCCTACTATGTACATCTTACACGGTGAGAAGACCTGCATTGTCCACTGTGGAGAACATGCAGCACTGTACAGACAGTATGCTAAGAGCTGAAATTAAAGGGGTAGAAAAAGAATTACTAGCTTTTAATGTACACACAGCAGATGCACATGTGGATGAAAACACATAGCATGGAAAACACAACATATTTGTGGTTTCTAATCAGTGAAGGGAAAACCACATATTAGCTCAAGATTTTAGGGCTGTGAAGGATTACAGATGGTATTGCCAGTGAAACTTTCAAGGAATGATGATTCCCCAGACTTGGAGTCTGCATCTTTGATAGAAACCACTGAAGACAGCACTGGCAAAAGAGAGCGAAGGTCAGTCTCTCACTCACAACACTAAAAGGTTTTTAATGGTGAGAACCGATTGCTACAGCTCACATGCCGTGAAAGGGCAGTGCTGTCCTTCACAGAGTTCACAGAGAAAACATTTTCCATAACAAATCTGTGTGGCCAGCAGAATAAACATCATTGATGACCACATCTCATCAACTTTTGAACCGTGCTTGGGTACACCCAGTTTTATTAAAAACAACTACAGTGTTTGCACACACTAATATTGATGGGGTCAAACATAAGACATAATAAAATAAATGATTTCCACTATAGAATCTTTATGACAGCTTGAAACACTAATAACTCACAGGACGAGGAAAATCAATTGAAATATGTAAACAATTATTGTATATTCCCATTAGGATATACAAACAATGATTATGACATACAAAACTGGCACATGAACAATTATAAGAGAAGAATAATGCACCAAGCACGGAAACCTTGCATCACACTGTTTCCTAAAAATGACACAGCATAAACAGACTTAAAAACACCAACTGACGCGAGCCAGAGGAAATCCTTAAAACAATTTGGCACATCCAGTGCACTTAAAAACAAAACACTCTTTGTTTGTTGTTGTTGAGTTTTCCCTGCAGATTAAAGTAATCCAGTGTCCACGTGCATGGGTGGGAGCAAAAGCCTTGGGAGTGTGTTTGCATGCGCATGTGCTTCCAAGTGTGGCTGTAGCTTGTAAGATAATGTTGTTGGACAGCTGTCACGGGAACAGTGAATGAGGAGGCCAGAGGTGCTGCATACTCCACTGCAGAGTCTCTGCCTACACACCAGGTTGTAGCATCTGAGTGAAATACGTGTGCCGTCTTCTTGTCTCCTCATCTAGCTGTTCTTTTAGAGTCAGCACCTATTGGCAACAAAGAAAAATAAAAAAGGATAGGTAGAGTAACACAAAACCCCAGACATAAAGAAGAAAACAACCATCTCAACAACTTGTCCAGAATGAGATAGAAAATACTTGTTCCTCCAGGCATTTGACCCTCTGCCGATGGGCCCTCTCCCTGGTCTCCAGGGCCTGCTCTGACTGGAGCTGAATGTCTCTCAGACGATCTGTCTCCAAATCCAATTCTTGGTGATGACGGGCTGTCACCTCCAGGAGGTGCTGTGCATGAGAATGCTCCAACTGGGAGGCATGGGCCTCAAGGCAATTAGACACAGAAGATTATATTGAACTGAATTGAAAATAGAGCACGAGACAGATGAAAGTCAGGATTTCTTTAGTGCCACTGTTGGTTGCTATGACCAGTGACTGAGGAGATGGGGGCACAGAGGTTCTCTGACTCTCGGGTTACTGAGGTCATGACCCTGGGCTCACAGGTTCTGACCTGAGCAAACTGGCTAACTAGAAAAACATATGTTGGTAGAAGACAGTCTTTTTTTTATAGGTGTAAAACTCAAACAAAAGTTATCTAAATGTAACATGCAGCGTAACAGTAGCAGGTCCCCTTTCAGAATTATGACTAATATGCTATTACTGATCAAATGCTACTTGCAGGTGTTTTCAAAGAGTGTAGGGATGTCTGGCTTCTAATGCAAACAAGTGCAACTGTGTATTCCACTCACCAGTCGAGTCCCCAGTGTTCGAGTCCGAGTCGAGTCTCGAGTGCCCAGTGTTCGAGTCTGAGTTGAGCCCATGTCACCAAAGAATAATCCAAGTTGAGTCTGTGTTGAGTCCCCATTGCCCCGAGTCAGAGTCAGAGTCATCAAGGTCTACATTAAACACAACTGACACACCTCTCACCACTTTATATTCCAAACTTTCTAACATTGCAGAGGTCACGCTAGACTTTCTCACTGCCTGTCATTTTGACCGACAGGGTCATAAAAATTCCATCATAATTTATTATTACCCCACAATTTAATTTTCATTTTTTAATACTTAGACATTTAATAGCATTTTTCATTCATTTTCAATGCATTTTTAAATAATCAATATATGGAACAAGATAATGTGCAGCCACTTTTCGTATCAAGACCACATAAAGAAGATTACTTTTTTTATTTTTAGTTAATTTTTTGGCAGTTACAGCAAAGGCCACTAAAAATACTGTGGCCAGTGTGTGTAAATAAGGAAATATGAACATTGCAATTTAACAGAATTAGACAATTACAATTAAAATATGAACAACACCTTACAAAAAGGGAGGCTAACTGAATTGGACCCAGCTGACCTGCTGTAGCCCGGCCTACTTCAGAGGTGATTGTCAATAGGTTTGTCATGGCCCTTATAATTTTGATCTGAAAGCTGAACCCATGTTGGGAAACATTTCTCTCTGGAAGTGATTAGAGGTTTCTCTGAACGTGACATTTCCCAGTCCTGATCCACTCACCTCACCAGGAGGAATCTGCTGCATGCACACCTTTTGCACCAGCGGAGTAGCTGTACCCCTCTGTGATCCATAGTGGTCACAGACCCGCTCTGTTGCCTCCAGTCTGTGGCTCGTCAATGGGCTGTCAGCTCCCAGATAGCGAGGTAGGCCTCAGTTGTCCTTCATCCACAGCATCAGTTTGTCTTTTTCACCTCGTTTATCAGTGCCATAGCAGCCAATTGGGCTTTTTAGTATCCTATAGCCTAACTTTAAGTTAGTGTTCTAATTTGCCAAAATGATGGATTTTTTTTCATCATTAATAAAGAAAATTCCGCCAATTATGGAAAATAGAACCTCTTTTGTATTACATCACAATATTGCTTAGCAATTTGATACATAAAAAACATTTATAAAAAGGTGGAGTGCATGCTTGATGTAAGTGGATAACATGGATACAGCACAGTGTGAATGAACAGATTTTAATATCAATATCTTATGCCAAATTATTATATCTTATTACATAAAAGTAGACTAAATGAAGTCCTGCTCTCCATCTTCCGAGTCCGAATGCAGTCAGTGCTGAAATGCTTAAGTCTGAGTCCATGTCCGAGTCATCAGCAGTCCGGTCCAAGTCGAGTCACGAACCCTAAAAATCTGGACTGGAGTCAGACTCAAGTCCAAGTCCTGAACTCGAGTACTACAACACTGGAACTCACTGATGCTGACAGTGACATTAGAGAGGGTCCAATATTCATAAAAAATATGAATATTCTTAAAAATAATTAGAGTTACACAGGGCTTAAAGCCAATAATAATAATAATAATGATAATCATCAGCAGCATAAATATAGGACAAATATCAGTAGCTGGTGCAATCTTGATCCCTTTAACTTTTTCCTAACTAGAGTTATACAGAATTAGAAAGTATTTGCTCAGATCAGAATCAAGATCAATTTATTCCCCAAGTACATGTTTTGGTGTAGATGTCATAAAAGAACTGTATAATATCATAAATGAGAATATAAGACTTTAAGCTTAAAACAAAAACACAAACTATAAACACACACTAGCTATATACAGGATGAATGTTGCGAATAGTATTGTCAAATACACAGTGAAGGTTGATGAATATGATGAGTGAGAGTCATAATGTATGTACATAAACAACATTAGCACAGAATAAAAAGCACAGAGTAAAATTAGTACAAAGTAATGTGTGAGCAACACAGAGTATAAGTGAAATAAACAGAATTGCCAGAGGCTGCTGGACTGTGGGTATTTACAAGATTTTACATGGCTGTTTTACTAGCAGACACGCACCTATGTAAACAGTGTATGAGTAATCATTTCAGCTGCAGAAATAAGGGACACATGCTCGTAACTCAGGGTGCATGATGCGTGGCTGTATTTTCCAGCCAGCATTAGATGAGGGGCGGGGGCGTACAGTATCATAGCTGGACATGCGCCATGCTTGTTAGCCGTGCTGTATAAATGGGGCCTAGAATGAGTAGTCTAGTGCAAAGCTGGTTACTTTAGAATATTTAGGTGTTTGGTTTAGTTTCACTCTGTGGCAGGGGGGGCATTTTAGTGCACAACGCCTACACAGTACCAGAGAACTTTCAGCCATGATCACAGTAACAGTTTATATATATTATTCATATATTATATATATATATTATTCA